TCTCCCCTCCGAGGAAATGGCCACGCCTCAGTCCCCTCTCCTCCATTCTCCTCTTGGGATCTTGGGCATGCACGCACACGCGCCCGACATGAGTTTAAGCCACCGGGTCTGGGACTCGAACCGCAGTCGACTACATGGGAGTTCAGCAACATAGCCATTATGCTAACTGCTGGTACCCCATCCTTTTTTTTTTTTTTTAAAGGTAAACAAGTCATTTTGATAGAGAAACAAGGCTGGCGAATTCTTATTTTATTTTTCAGAAATACACACTATTTTTTTTTTAATTAAGAGAGATCTTTGTTATAGGATGCATGCACTCACCAGAGAGAGAGACCAAGAGACAGTGAGAAATCACCCCCAGGGGGGATGGCCACACTGCAATCCCTTCTCCATTATCCTGTCGGGATTTTGGGCATGCATGCACACACACCTGGCATGAGTTTGAAGCTGCCAGGTTTGGGACTTGAACAGCAATCAGGCATGTGGGAGTCCAGTGACATACCCGTTATGTCATCTGCTGGTTCAGAGATACAAATTACTTGTAGGCATCAGGATGGTGGCAGGACAATTCTTTCTTTTCTTTCACAGCTATTTGTTTCGTGGTGGCAGGTCAGCAATTTAATTGGGAGGCCGCCTACACTTCCGCATCATCCTCTAGGGATGTACATCCTCAGGGCATTGTTTACCATGGCTCTGTGTGCTTGTGTGGCAGTCTGTTTGCCAGTACATACTGGATGGGGAACTAAGGGAAGCCTGGGTCTGTTACATGCTAGTGAACAAATGGTAATCAGGGCCAGGGGACTCCTGGGCATGTGTTCGTGTGTGGGGATGGGGCCATCACATATTTATAGAATTGTAATTAGGAAAGTTTTTGTCTATTCAGAGAAAAACACTTAAGAACCTGCATTACTTTTGCACTTCTTTCTCTCTTTGTTTCCTCTCAGAAAGAAATCCAGAACGCTGAGCTCCACCCCCTTCCGATCATCCATGGTCACTGTTTGGTTTACATCACATCTCCCCTCAGCCTGGATGTTCTCCCCCAGCATGACCCCCTTCCAGACTCTGTCCCAGGGTCACCTTCTCTTTGATGTTTTCCCAGGTAGTGTTGGGCGCCCCCTGTCCTGTTCCTCCTTTGTGCCTGCCTCTAACAGACCCAGGGGCTCCTTATTCACAGTCACTGGTGTGCATGCCTTTCTTCCCTTTGCGCTTGGAGGCATCACCAGGATTCACCCCAGGCATTCCTGTGTGTCTTCCCAGCGCTGTAACCCAGCACCTGGCACCATGCAGTACTCAGAAACATGAGTTGCAGGAAGGCTTTCCTGGCCTCATGAGTGAAGGTTGTCAGGCTGACTTCAGCATTATCTGATTACAGAGATGAAGGCAGAAAAAATGGGAAGGAACCATGAGGTCTCTGATGGGTAGTGGCAGCCCTTTCATGGCAGTGTGGTTCTAGGGTCTGAAGAATTACTTAGTGCCCCCAGATCATTAGTGATATTGAAATAAAGTGCTTTTCATCTGTCTTGAACTAAAATTGAATTGTGCAGGCATTTTAGAATTATTAATTGCTCTTACAGTGGGTTATGAGTGTTTGTTCTGGGAACAATGAGTCAGTCTTTCTTTCTTTCTTACCTTCTTTCTTTCTTTTTAGGTTTTTGCCATAGAACTCATGCGTTTGCACAGAAGAGAGATAGACAGAGGCAGAGAGAGGGAATAAATAAAAGCAATAATCAACCCCTGGGAGGATGACCACCCTGCAATTCCTTCTCCTCCATTCTCCTCTCAGGGTTTTTGGTACACGTGCATACACGCCCAGTGTGAATTTCAAGCCACCAGGTCCAGGACTCAAACCTCAGTCAGCCATGTGGGAGTCCGGTGCCTTAACCACCATGCCACCTGCTGGTTCTGGGAACAATAGTTATTTAGTAGGCATAAATTTTGGCAGCTGCATTGATTTTGTGAAAGGACCTTGTTGGAGTCCGTCCTTTATACCTATGCTGGGTTCTTCTGCCCTGAGCAGCTTTCAGTGCCAATGATACCCAGCATATAGACTGTGGTATCTGCCTGTTTTGCGTGTGTGTGTGGAGAAATTTCTTTTGGTTATTGGCTTTGAAAATTACCTGAAAGTTGGGCCAGGTGGTGGTGTAGCAGTAATGCATCGGGAACCACATAGGAGAGGTCCTGGGTTTGCATTTCAGGTCTTTCCCAAGCATGCTGGGTATGTATGTGCATGCCTATGATCTGGGCGGGCTGAGACTGGGGTTGGATTACAGCATGAAGATTTTGTTAGGAGTGCCTGTTTCTCTTCCTCTCCCTCTCAGAAGAAGTAAATAAATAAACTTAAAATAAAATGCCTGAAGTGGTAGTTGGCCTTGTCATGCAGAAAGCCATATCCCACTATAGTTCAAATCCTGGCCCTGGCAGTAACACACAAGGCATGCATGTATGTGTGTACGCCCACATGCTCAGGATCCTGACAGGATAGAAGAATGGAGGAAGGGATACAGCACAGTCTGGCCCTGCTGGGGGCGCTTGCTCTCTCTCTCTCCTCAATGACATGCCCTCTGGCATTAAAAAAAGAGAGATAGGAAGAAGAAAAAGAAGGAAAAATTGCCTGAAAGTTTTGCTTGCCCATATAAAATTTTTACTAATCACCTTTTAAAAATAGTTGTCTTTAAAGCAGATGGAAACATCCTTTATGTTGAGGATACTCTTTGGGGTGTAGTCCTGGTAGTAATTCTAAAGCTAGCCGTTACGTGGCTTCATTATGGTTTTCCTAATAGAGACAGAGTCTTTAGAGTCACATGGAGACCAGGCTTTTCTCTGCTTCTTTGGCAAGATTTTTGTTTGTTCATGTTGGTCTAGTGATGGCTTTCTGGGTTCTCCCAGTTATCCTCTATCATAGGCCAAATTAAAGTTGGCTTCCCCTAAGCCCTTCTGCTTTTGCTAATATAGATAGTCCCCTAATTTAAAGGGTCTCTCCTGTGAAATTAATTTTGTTTGTGTTATCTCACAGGTACTACTCAGTCCTTTATCCTTTGGAGAGAAAAATATCTGATGCCAAGTCCCGTGAACTGGTGATGTACATCTGGGCCCATGCGGTGGTGGCCAGCATCCCTGTGTTTGCAGTGACCAATGTGGCCGACATCTATGCTATGTCCACCTGCACGGAGGTCTGGAGCAACTCCTTGGGCCACCTGGTGTACGTGCTAATCTATAACATCACCACGATCATTGTGCCTGTGGCTGTGGTGTTCCTCTTCTTGATATTGATCCGACGGGCCCTGAGTGCCAGCCAGAAGAAGAAGGTCATCATAGCAGCGCTTCGGACCCCACAGAACACTATCTCTATCCCCTACGCCTCCCAGCGGGAGGCCGAGCTGCACGCCACTCTGCTGTCCATGGTGATGGTCTTCATCTTATGTAGCGTGCCCTACGCCACGCTGGTCGTCTACCAGACTGTGCTCAATATCCCCGACACATCTGTCTTCTTGCTGCTCACTGCCATTTGGCTGCCCAAAGTCTCTCTGCTGGCGAACCCTGTGCTCTTTCTTACTGTGAACAAATCTGTCCGCAAGTGCTTGATAGGGACCTTGGTGCAACTGCACCACCGGTACAGTCGCCGCAATGTGGTTAATACAGGGGGCGTGGCTGATGCCAGCCTGGAACCCAGCGTGCGCTCGGGCAGCCAGCTCCTGGAGATGTTTCACATTGGGCAGCAGCAGATCTTTAAGCCCACAGAGGATGAGGAAGAGAGCGAAGCCAAGTATGTTGGCTCAGCTGACTTCCAGGCTAAGGAGATGCTCACTACCTGCCTAGAGGAAGAACAGGGGCCTCAGTTTATACCCCTGGCACCACCCCTAGGCCCAGTGGACTCTATATCCCAGGTGGCTCCTGCAGCCCCTGTGGAACCTGAAACATTCCCTGACAAGTATTCCCTGCAATTTGGCTTTGGGCCTTTCGAGCTGCCTCCTCAGTGGCTCTCAGAAACCCGAAACAGCAAGAAGCGGCTGCTTCCCCCTCTGGGTAACACCCCAGAAGAACTGATCCAGACAAAGATGCCCAAGGTAGGCAGGGTGGAGCGGAAGATGAGCAGAAACAACAAAGTGAGCATTTTTCCAAAAGTGGATTCTTAGTAAGGATTGCAAATTTGGAAGCAGCAGGGAGCTTCTCTATTCCCGCCATCCCTTCACTCTGGCAGTCGATTTGTGTGATCGCGTTCAGCCCTCTATGGGTTGGTTCCTCCCGTATGGGCCAAATGTTTTTGAGTGAAAGGGAAATCTATATAGAATCAAATGCCCTCTTTCTTGAGGGAGTATACACATTAATCTCAGTGATCCAGAAAGTCCACATTCTTCTCTGTGGGATGAAAGCTAAGCAGTTTTGGAACAGTCTTGGGGTGCTCTTCATGTGCATTTCCGGGGACCTCTTTACTTCCCTGGGCTCAGCAGAGAACTCACAGAGAGAAAAGTGTCTACCAGCTCAGAAGGAGCAGGGGCACTCCAAGGGAAGCCCAAGATAATTATGGAGTGGAGCAGCTACAAAGAATCTGCCTATTTGATCGTCTTAATGACAAATAGGAAAACCTTTTATACTGAGAAGATAGGGAGCTGGCCTCTGACACTGTTTCCCTGGAAGCCCCAATCATAAGACTCACCATTGCTCTGAATCCTTTATCCCTTTCACTGGGAAACAGGTAAAGGATGACTATTCCATTCGTATTCAGCAGCCATGGCAATAGATGTGCCTGGGAGTCAGGGGGGTACTTTGTCCTTGGTTATCCTGAGATTCTCTTAGCATCACGAAGGCCTTGGAAAGTTACAGCTGCACACACCAGTCATGGTCTGTGCTGAGGGGAAAACACTGCAGGCTCTTCACTGTGTCTTTCTCCTTCAATTGTGGTTTCTCAGCAAATGAGAAAGAAGCTTAGAGGTTCAGAACAAAAAATGATTGAGCAATGCCCTCAGCATGCTAGTCCTTTCTCTTTCATGTGATCTCATGTGAAAGGTGCTACATAACAATCTGTATGAGCAAAGTAAGCTGAAAATAAATCATCTTATGCAAATTTTTGGAATAAAAAACTGCAGAGTTAGTAAAAGTAGAAACATGAAGCTAAAAATACTTGGTTAGGAAAGCTGATTCTGCCCAAAAGACTGGCAAGCGTCTGGCAAAGATGGCTTTATTCCGATGAGGACTCAAGAACCCAGGCATGGCCAGTCTCATTTTTCAGACTGTGCAGCTGAGGTTCTTCCTTTCACTTTAGACAGAGGAGACACAGAACAAGAAGGAATAATGAATCACTGTGAAATGCTAAGGCAACACCTAGCTCAGGTGAGCGCTTCAGTTCCTCCTTCTCAGTGAAGTTTATGTTGGAGCCAGAGTAGGTAGGAGGAGGACACTGTTCTCCAGTAACTAGTCTCACAATCAGCTCCAGTCCACTCTGGATTGGATTTCACCAGGCTGAATTCACACCACAGATGTCATCTCATTGTCCATGAGGGCCAAACAAGTGCCAGCTCTTCTCTTCTTTTGAAGATGTTTTTGTTCTTACTAACAGTACTTGGAGGAGCCAACCCAGTGCCTTGAGCAAGCTTGAAGGGAAGGGGTGTCTTCACTGGCAAACTTCCACACCCCAAAGGCAGTGGTCCTTACACATCCCTCTGTTAATCACCCTGGACCATTGTCCCTTGGAGGAAGCTTAGACCAAGTGTAGGGAGTTTCCTTTTCCTTTCTTCTCTTGGGTGTGGTGTCTAGTGTTTCCTGAGTGTGAACCCAAGGACCCTACCCCTTGGAGAGGAAGTGCCTTCCTCTTTGTGTTTGTCTCCTTCAGTGTTGTTGGCTCACAGCAGAAACAGGGGACCACCGCATCCTTTCTGGCCCCTGCTGGACCCTGTGTGCATGCCGTCTTTAACTCCTTGCCCTGATAGTTCGTGTTGTGGCCTCTCAAGCTTATCTTTCAAAATTCTCACAATTGTTACAACTTTTATCAAGGGAAACAATAATCTGCCAGAAAATAGTGTCCACTTTAGAAGAATCTGTCAAATGTAGCCTATTTGGTGTCGTTCTTATCCTATATATGTACAACTTAATAAATTCTGATGAGGCAGAATTTGGTTGGGTATATTCCTTATTATGTTTGAAGCAGATGGTTGACTTCTCACAAGTCATTGCCAGGTGTATTTCTATACTCTTTGAAGAAAAACATTTTAATAAAATATTGAAAAGCAGTTTCTGAACTCGGAAAAAAAAGTGATATGAGCTATGTTTTCCTTCTTCTTTTCTCTCTCAAGTGATACACATCTGAATGTCTCTACATGGTCTTAAGTGAAAGATATTAATTTTTCTTACATAAATGCAGATACAGCATTATGGTAGCATTTTCTTATGTTGTTACAACTAAAAGAAAATGAATTCCCAAAGGATGGGTTCCAAATTGAATTGGTAGGTGGACTGCCCAAATCTCTAGGCAGAGCTGCATAAGAGGAGGGTGGAATATGGCTATCATCATCCCTCAGGCAGGAGGGTCCATAGCAGGGTGGATGGAGCTGTGAGCTTTCAGGTCAGATTACCATGTTCAAATCCTGGTTCTACCACTGATTAGCCTTGTGACCTAGGCAGGTAAGGAAACCTCCATGTGCCTTTGTTTCCTCTCTGTAAAGTGGGGGGATAAGAATTGTGATAGAAGCCTCTGTTGACCCAACTCACACACTTCACCTCTGACTTTTGCCACTTCTGCAGTGGGCCCTTGCTGGCTGCATCCAGTGTCTGTCTGGGAGAGCTCTCTAGTTCTGAGAGTAACCCTTGACCTGTGTGGCATGGGAACCAATGGGAGACATCTGTCCAATTCTCAGGAGGTCAAGCAGAGTTAGTCCCCACTGTACACTGTGGTACCTAAATAATGCATACTTAAATTGGCTCTGCACCCTCATTGGCTGTCTTGCATCCTCCAGCCCCTATGTTTTTAAGAATTACCCCCCAAATATACTACCTGCACAAAGCCTTTGCAAGTTTCAAGCTTTGTTTACAGGAAAATTCAAGTGAGACTATCATGTACTTCATGGGACACTTGGGAGGATTAAGTTAACATTGTGGTGGTTAAAGTGCTAGACTACTTCTCTGCTCCCCATGCCACTGGGACATCTACCTTAGGCCTTGCTGTACAGTGAGGTGAGCCATTTGTGGCTGGGAGACTGTGCTGCAAAACTTGGCTCGTCCCCTCCCTCATATGCCTTTGAACTCTCAGGTGTATTAATTGGGACTTAGAAAAGCACTTCTTTACCAGCTCACTGCTCTATTGGGACATCCACCCCAGCAATGGGCCTGGCTGCACTGAGAAGCAAGGACATTGAACTGCAGGGAGATTGTGGCTCATCTCCTGCTACATGCCTCTGAATCCTCAGACTTCAGCATTTCTTGCCACGTGACCCCTTATATTTTCCTCAATTGAAGCTCAGTAGCTTAGTCCCAGGTGCCCCTGTTCTCTAGAAACTGGGAGGACTTTGAATTAGCCAAATTCAGAGACAACAGTGCAGGTTGCTGGGTGAGCATCAGGGAAGTAGAGCAGCAGAGAGATCTCTGACCTTCTCTTCCTGCTTGCCTTTGAACACTCAGAATTAACTCAGAATTTAGGAAGAAATATATAGTCACCTGATGACTAGAAACCATCACAGAGGCACAAGAAATATGATAAATCAAGAAAATATCTCTCCCCCAATGGGAAAACATCAATTCCTCATCACCCATAGACAATACTGTGGAACTCATGGAGCTGTCAGATAAAGAATTCAGAATATTTATAGTGACAAAACTAAATGAGATACAAGAGAGAAGAGACAACAAACTCCAGATGTTGCAAGAGAAAAGAGACGATGAGCTTCAGGAGATGAGGAAGTCCTTTCACAATTTTGAAGAAGAAATAGACACTATAAAAATAATTAAACAGAACTGTTAGAGATGAAGACTGTAATATAGGAAATCAAAATTTCCCTTGAGAATATTAGAAGCAGATTAGATCATGCAGAAGATTGAATCTCAGATGTAGAAGACAAAACCTCTGACCTAGAAAAAATTATCAAAAAGAATGATAAAATAACCAGGAAGAATGAGGACAATATACAAGAAATACTAGATACGATGAAATGCCCAAACATCCAGATAATTGGTATCCCAGAAGGTGAAGAAAATCATAAGGGCATTGATATTCTATTTCATGAAATCCTGGAAGAAAAATTTCCAAACCTAGAGAAGCATTCAAATATCCAGGCCCAAGAAATATAAGACCTATATATGTACAACTTAATAAATTCTGATGAGGCAGAATTTGGTTGGGAAAACTGTCAAAATCTTTAAAAAAGATATTGAAAATGACACAAAAAAGTGAGAGGACATTCCATGTTCCTGGATTGGAAGAGTTAATATAATCAAAATGGTGATTCTACTCAAATTAACCTACATATTTAATGCAATTCCAATATAATTACCAGAGATATTTTCAGAGATCTAGAAAAGATAATAATAGAATTTATCTGGAATTATGAAAGACCCTGTATTGCCAAAGCAATCTTGTGCAGGAAAAGTGGAGTGGGCAGCATCTCACTCCCTGACTCCAAAATATATTATAAAGCTGTAATAATCAAAACAGCATGGTCCTGGCACAAAGACAGGTGAACCAATGGAACAGAATAGAGACCCCAGAAATAAAACCCAAGACATACAGTCAACTGATTTTTAACAAAAATATATCAGTCAATCCATGGGAGAAATAAAACTTATTTAGCAAATAGTGCTGGAAAAACTGGTTATTCACCTGCAGAAAGATGAAACTAGACCCCCATATTTCACCATTAACAGAAATCAAATCAAAATGGATCAAAGATCTAAACCTAAAACCTCAAAGACCTCTTTGCTGTAAAACTACTAGTGTAAAACACTGGGGAAATTCTGGGAGACATTGGGGTATGCAGACTTCTTAAGTAAGACCCCAAAAACACAGGCAATAATCGCAAAAATCAACAAGTGGGATTACATCAAATTAAGAAGTTTATGCTCAGCAAAAGATACAGTAATTAGTGTGAATCGACAACCCTTGAAAAGGGAGAATATTTTTGTAAATTATGCCTCAGTAAGGGACTGATAACTAGAACACACAGGGAACTCAAGCAGCTTATCCTAAGAAAAATGATTAGCCCAATTAGAAGGTGGGAAAATGAGTTGAACAAAAAAAAAACTCTCTAAAGAAGACAAACAAACAGCCATAAAAAAAAAAAAATCCTACTACCATATGATCCAGCGATCCCACTCCTTGATATCTACCCAAAGGACAGAAGAATACTTAATCGGAAAAGTTCTTGCAAATTGATGTTTATTGCGGCACTATTCACAATTGCTAAGTCATGGAAACAACCCAAATGCCCACGAACAGATGAATGGATAGAAAAATTGTGGCACATTTACTCAATGGAATATTATTCGGCCATTAAAAAAAAAAAAAAAAAAACCCTGGCTTTTGACAGGAAGTGGATGAATATAGAAGACTTACTGCTGAGTGAAGCAAGCCAGGCTATGAATGAGAGGCATTGTATGGCTCCACTTAATCTATACCAAGTGTCTGCACTATATAACTGAAACTAATTGACTAAAGGATATAGAAACACAATATATAGATGTAAATACCAGATATAGTGTGTGTGAAAGAGGAGGGTCTGAGGAAGGACATTTGGGGGAGGAATAAGGAGGCAAAGCATTAATGGCACAAAGAGGTGTGGTATTATCTGTTGAAGATATTTTGTAATTTTATCAACTGTACTAGGGAGAAATGTTCACCTGTTGAAATATCCACTTTGTAAGACAAATAATAATGTGATTGAATGTATAAAAGAAAATGAAATGAAAATAATTAATTAATTAATAAAAAAAATCCTCATCATTCCTCATCATAAAGGAGATGCAGATTAAAACCCACAATGAGATACCACCTAACTCCTGACAGAATACAAAGATTAAAAATACAGAAAATGATAAGTGCTGATGAGGTTGGGGTTAAAGGGGAACTCTCCTACACTGTTGGTGGGAATGTAAATTGGTCCAGCTGCTGTGGAAAACAATATGGAATTTCCTCAAAAACCTATAAATAGAACTACTATACAATCCAGCAATTCTACTCCTGGGTATCTACCCAAAGGACAGGAGAATGCTCAGTCAGAAAAGTATTTGCACATCTATGTTTACTGCAGCATTACTCATGACTGCTCTATAGAATACTGTTCAGCCATAAAAAACAATAAGACCTTGGAATTTGATAGAAAGTGGTCAAATATGGAAGATTTATTGCTGAGTGAAGTAAGCCAGGCTATGAAAGAGAGACACTGTATATCTCCACTTAACATTATACCAACAGTCTGCACTCTGGAAGAGACTAAAAGATTGGAGGACATAAAAGCATTGAACATAGTTACAGACACTGAAGACAATGTGGAAGGAGGGTGGGAGATGGGAAGAATGTAGAGAAGGAAATTAGAGGGAAAATAGAGAAGTAAGACATTTGTGGGACACAGACATGGTTTATTACCTGTTGATAATATTGTATATAGTATTCTCAATTGGACTGGTCTGAGATGTATTTCATGTTGGGTAAATTCTCTTTACAAGCTAAATTATGTATTTGTGATAGAATGTATAAAATAATAATAATAATAAAGAAATAAGTGAATATGGAATAGAAAAAAAGTAATTAGGGAAGGAAGGGAGAGAGTGGAAAAGAATTGGAGAAACAGAATGTATTTACATTTTAAAAAGAGGGAGAGCTTATGCTATTGTAAGAAAGCTAATGCCAGGTCTAGCCAAACTTCAAATATGCATGATCGTTTTGAAGCACAGAAGCAGTGAGATTTCTCTTTGCTTTAAATATATGGCTGGATAATATTGAGGAATGCAGTTTCAGAGTGATAAAACTTAAAATGAAGTATAACCTTTGAAGAACTGAACAAGTCATATTGTCTATTTCTTGGCCCTTGATTTTTCTACTGCAGGTCTATTTTGAAAATCCTATATAAAAACATTTTATGGGACCAGCAGATGGCATAATGATTACGTTGCTGGACTCCCACCTAGTCTACTGCAGTTCCAGTAGTAGACCTGGCAACTTAAAACTCATGCCAGGAACATAGGCGTGCATGCCCAAGATCCAGAGAGTGATTTGTCACTTTCTGTCTCTATTTGTCTTT